AAAGGGAAGCCAAGGAAAAGGTAAATTTACCCAATTTACCAATTGGGATGCTGTTGCTGTGGCCCTGGTGAGATATGATGACGGTCCTTCCACCACTATCTACAAAAGCGTCCAAAGTGCCTGAAAAATAGGGACATGAAGGAACTTGCAAAGATAACAAGAGAATCCATATTTAAATGACTTTCTGGTAACACCCCAAAGAAGCAAAAAGATGAATTTAGAGTGTAGGACATTCTACAGGACAGCTGACCTGGTTTCTTCAACAGGTTAAGAAGCGGGGAGTGATGATCACTCTGGCTTCAAAGAGACAGAAGAGGCCCACTAACCACATGCACCACATGGAGCTATTGGAATCCTAGTTTGAACGATTGTAAAAAGTAGATTTTGAAATAGTTGGGAAATTTCTATAGTGAAGCTGGCTGTTGGATAATACCAAGGAATTACTGATAATTTTGTTAGGCATGACAACGGCATTATGACTACACAAGAAAACGTGTGTCTTTTGAAGAGCTGCATGCTTCAGCAGGTAGGGGTAAAACAACAGCTATTGGATTGCCTGGAGTTGGAGTTTGAGTGACTTTTTAAATTTTCTTGAGTTTGAGTTGCCTTCTTTATTTCCCTGAGGTTGAGTTTCCCTCTGTTTTTACAAGTCTAAATTGCTTTCTTTATTTCTCTGGCTGTGGAAGCCATGGTGCTTATGGAAAGTGCTGTACACCTTGGAACTGCAATCTTTTGATCGAGGTGAAAGAAAAAGTGATGAAAAAAAGATGAACTGTTTTAGAAGTTATTTATATATTCTTCCTAAAAGCTTAAAAATGAAGGGAGGAAACTCGCACCATCATCTTTAGGGAATTGCAAACATTCACATCCTTGTTATGCACATTAAGGTGGGTTTTCATCATTAGGCAGCCTTCTGTCCTGGATATTTTATCTATGGGAGCCAGATGGCCCCAAAGCAGTAAAGGTGGCTTTCTCAATGGTACTCCAGAATTCTTACTTACAAGAGTTTTTGTATGTGATCTGCATTTGCCTCTCTTCTCTGTGCTCCATTTGGAGAAATAATGTAAATTTAGACCTTGAATCTCCTATATAAGTGTCAAGGCAATTATCCGTTTTGTTAACAAATGCTTACTTTGGATTGATTAAATATAACTCTAATGCATGCTTAAGAGAAGAGAGATTTGATTATAGTCTGTGAAACTGAGCCTTTCAGTTTAGGAAAAATGAAAGTCTAGAATTATATATACATATATTTCTATATTTTTGTACATGTAAAATTTTATTTATATTATATATATAAAGAATATAATATATTCATTCACTTTTTAGCAGATAGAATGTTAAGTGGAATATTGAAAACAGGAAATGAACACAACAAAACAGAGTATCTTATCCTGAAAAGAGCAAAAATAATGAATATCTTCTTGAAGATGATTGAAAGTTATCATTTCAAATGAATTCTGCATTATTCATAGGCCCCTGAACATCATCTCCCTGTTTTTCTGTGTGGGAACTAAGATCTAATAGATGTTTTCCTAGAGGTACATTCATTTGTATACTATCATTCACATATTTTATTTTGATCTCTCGGGAGAGTCCTAATCAAGTTTTTGTTTTCTCTTCCTGAGTTCTACATTAGGAAGAGTTATTTAGGTTTCATAGACTTGCCAGGTTATCAAGGATCTTCAAGGACATCTAGTCACCTTCCTGCTCAAGGCAGGAAACCTCTCTTGACAGTAAGCATAACCATAACCTTCCTGAACACTTCCTGTGTCAGATAATTCACAGCCTAGTCCTCTTCCCTGGAGCTCTAATTATTCATATTCTATTACTTATTGACCCCTACTATTCATATGTATCAAGCCTATTGCAATTTATAGTTATCTTTTTATCTAGTTTTATTAGATCACAACACCCTTCTAATTGCAAAATCCAATGCACATTCTTAAATCTGCATGTCGTTGGACTTCTATAGCATTTTACACCATTATCCACTCCCTCCCTCTTGAAATGCTCTTCCGTTTTGGTTTCTTTGAATTTCTTGCCCAGTTTTTCTCCTTTCCATGTGATTTTTTCTTCTCAGTCTCTGTGTGAAGGAGGTCTTTTCATCTGCTTAGCCCATTAAGTATTACTTTCCTCGCTTCTGTCTTTAGTTCTTCATCGTGTCCACATACTCCCCCTGAAATGTTTAGTCCATTTCTAGAACTTTGGTATCATTGGCTTCACCAATGTCTCTATCCTTGTCTTGTCTCCTCAACTCTAGTCCTTTGTACATAGGTATGTCCTGAAATTTTCAGTTAGACTCCCACAGGCACCTCAAATTCAGTATTTCTTTCTTTTTTTAAAAGATTTATTCATTTATTTTAGAGGTGGGGGAAGGGTAGAGAGAGAGAGAATCTCAAGCAGACTCCACGCTTAGCACGGCCTGATATGGGGCTCCATCTCACCACCCTGAGATCATGACCTGAGCCCAAGATTTGGACACTCAACCAACTGCGCCACCCAGATGCCCATCAAATTCAACATTTCTAAAGCTGAAGTGTAGCCATTCTCTTTTCCCAAATTCTGTATTCTTCTTTTGGTCATTAGAACTGTGATCCAAACAAAAATCTCGATGTTGTCTTCACTATCTCCCTTTTCTCTTAAATGTATCTTGGGCACTTTCCTCCACTCCTGAAGCCACTGCCTCAGTTCAGGCTCCTGTCACTCCTCAGGTTTGCCCTGTCTTGTAACTCATCCCCTTCCAGTCTCAGATGCCTCTGCCGGCACATCTCCCCACGGCAGCCACACTGTGGCCTTTCTAAAATGAAATCTGCTCCCTAGATGGGAAGTCTCCCGTGATTCCACATTGCCTCTAGAATCAAGCCCAAACTCCCAAGCATGGCAGATGAGGAAGCCCTTCATGAAGTGACTCTCATTCCCATGTCCATCTTCTCTTCTCTTCAGTTCACCTTGTCCTCTATTCATTCCAAGTCTTGCCGTGCCCCTGAATATATGGGCTTTTACACGTGCACTGTTCCTGTTGCCAGAAATGTTTCTTGTATTATGAGAAAATTCTTCTTTTGTAATTCTCATTCCATTGCAGTTTAATTGCCTATACCTATTTCCATTACTACTTGCCGAGTTCCCAGAGATAAGCATACAGTGTAAGCCATTTTTCTAATCTTAATGTCTGGTCCAGTATCTAGAACATAGAAAATCCTGCTTAGTGAATTGAACATTTCAGTTACCCTTCTATGGGTAGGCTATAATTCTTTAACATCCCCCCCAATACCGTATGCAAAAAGAGCGATGTGTCTCACCTAGTACAGATTTTAATGGGGCTATTCATCCACTTGAAAAGGACATCTCTTTCTACCAAAATAGCTCCAGATAATAGTCACTGCGCAAATTGAGTGCCTGCTGTATGCCAGGTACAGTGGTAAATATTGGAAATAATCTCTGCTCATCAAACCACCTCTGTGGGGTAGACAATATGATCTCCATTTCATAGATTAGGAAGCTGAAGACTGAAGTATTCAGCACTTGTCCAAGCAAAGACCTGGTGAAGTTAGGATACAAACCACATCCATGTGACTGCAAAAGCCAGGCTTTTAGTGCTACTCACGCTGCCTTTGAAATTTTTTAGTAGTCTAATCAGATATTTAAAATTGAAAAGCTTGAAGTCAATTAAAATCCACCATGGCCCCTTTCTCCATTCTATACTTACATGATTATTTCACTCTACCTGCCAGATTCTGCATTTCTACTTATTAAAATGCTTAGTGCTAGCTTTGTCTTTTATTATTATTATTTTTGTGACCTAAGGACGTTGTAAGCAAAGGAGATGAATTTCTTTTAATGTGACTCAGTTTTAGAGAATGCCAGCTACATCTTGGTGACCTTAGATGTATTTCCCCAAGGGGTCTCATATCGTTTGCTCAATAATACTTGCTGGAATTGACATCAAAGTTACCTGCTTTATTTCTTAGACTATGTCTATTTTTTTTCTCTTTGAAAACCAGGATAGAATGTATCCATCTTTTCTTTAGTGACACATCTGTACTTTTCCATGAATTTTTAAAGATTGTGACAATGCTTTCATGGCTACAGGTGTTTTCGTACCCTTCACTATCATTTGTCTTCTCTAGACGCTTGGATTTCTTCTTATACCTTCTCAGTTTTGTGGTTTAGAGTACATAGACTAAAGTGTTCCTAAGACACCTGAGAGGTCAGGCTTTCCTATACAGGGGGAATGAAATGGCATGTGAGCAGTTCTACTCTGAAAATACTCATTAGTGCTTTGAAATTTCTTGAAGAAAGTCCCTGTATCAAATGCAAGCTACACAGGCAAAGATACAGGGAAAACTCAAATATGTTCCTTGTGAATATTCAAAGGGATATTTTTTCTGAATCTTAATAATTTTGGAAATAATGACAGTAAAGGTATTCTACGAAATGGGAGATCAAATTTCCTCCAATCAGATGACGTGTCAAAAGGACTGCACTGGGGTACCTGGGTGGCTCAGGTCATGATCCCAGGGTCCTGGGATGGAACCCCTCGTTGGGCTCCCTGCTCAGCAGGAAGCCTGCTTCTCCTTCTCCCTCTGCTGCTCCCCCTGCTTGTGCTTGCTCTCTCTCTTTCTGTCAGATAAGTAAATAAAATCCTAAAAAACAAAAAAGCAAAAGGACTTCACCAGTTTTCAAATGCCACAGCACTGAAGCCACACCATTCTCAAAGAGACTGGGCAAAAGGAATCATAGATATGTCACTTCAAAAATATCAAAACAGAAACTAAAGACAACAAATATAAAAGGTGATTTAAAAGGTCTAGGTCCTAACTTATGAAATACAGGGCAGATACAGTAGCAGGTAAAAACTACTGCGAAATGATTTATGATGTTGCCATGCCAAAGAAAAGTAATGAGTATATATTAGTAATGTATTAGTCAGGGTCCAATGAGAAGACAAAAACTGCACAGTAATTTGAAGTGGGGAAAGTGAAGTATAAAGAATTATTGTGCTTGCTTCAGCAGCACATATACTGAAATTGGAATGATACAGAGAAAATTAGCATCACCCCTGTGCCAGGATAACACACAAATTTGTAAGGCATTTCATATTAAAAAAAAGAAGAAGAATTATTAACAGGGGATTGCCTCATAAGGGAAAAAGAGAACCCTAAAAAATACAGAAATAGCAGATGTAGAAAACGGCCACCGCTCCTAGAACTGGGATAGAGCACCAGGGGAAGAGACCACTCCCTCCCAGGGCTGAGGTCCGGTCGTGGTTGGGAGAGGGTACGGTGTGGCTCAGTGAATGACAGAGAATTCATGGAGACGTCCCGCTTCTGGGATTTGCCAGGAATCCATCTTCCGGAGTGCTAGAGGAAGTCATTTTCAGAGATGCATCTTGAAACACACTCAAGCTACACACAGGGCGGCCAGAGAAGCCATCCGAAGCAAGGTGCCTTGCTGGCACCACTTGAGGGGAGTGTGCCAGAAAAAGCCATTTAGGGCACCTATCAGTCTGCTGTGAAGCCATCTGAGGGGGTGGTCCTGGGGGAAGCTATCAGGGGGTCCACTTGTGGCTGGGAAACAGTGCTGCTGAAAAAGCCACACACACTGGAGGAGATCCATGAGGTTAGCACACCAGAACCCAGAAGAGATACCTCTTCCTTCTCAGTGTCCCTCCAGCACCCTCTGCTGATAAAGTCTAAGATTGGACCAGATGGCAAGGAGAAATATTGATAGAGTCCACTTCCATTTTGATAGGATACAAAGTGTGGATTTGAGCGGAGGGGCAGTAAATTGATAACTAACATAAATGGTATCTGGAAGAAAATCGTTATTGGTATAAAGACATGAATTCCTAAAACCCAATGACAGATAATAACTATATTTTTCTTCTACTTTCTAATCAACCATATTTACTTTTTTGAAAAGATTTATTCACATTAAATGAGTAAAGAATTTTGAAGGCCAGTACATTTCTTTCCTAGAGAAACCAAATCAATTATATCAGAAATCCAAGTATAAATTGTGTGAATTTGTGGGTGCCTGGGTGGCTCAGTTGGTTAAGCGACTGCCTTCGGCTCAGGTCATGACCCTGGAGTCCCAGGATCGAGTCCCGCATCGGGCTCCCTGCTCGGCAGGGAGTCTGCTTCTCCCTCTGACCCTCCCCCCTCTTGTGCTCTCTCTCATTCTCTCTCTCAAATAAATAAATAAAATCTTTAAAAAAAATAAAAAAAATTGTGTGAATTTGTATATAGACTATTGTAGTCTCATGATAAATGTTTGCAGAAATTGAGTTGAATTAAATAGTACTCCATTTTGAACTACTCTGTATTTTGAAGATTTTTGGCTCTTTTTCCTTTCTTTTCTTTTCTTTTTTTTTTTTTTTTTTGTCAAATCCAATAAGCTTGTTCCAAATTTCAAAGGTTAAAGGACTTATCTTATTGAGCTGGGAATGTTTCTGGGCATTCACTTGTGGTTTAAAATCCACTAGAATCAGAACTCTATATAGTACTGGTCTTGATTTTAAGATATAAGATGATAATTGTTTCATCTTTCTGAAATACTTGGAAAATTTATAGTGATACTGGAGTATAATTCTGATGGCTCCTGAGAACTATTATAACATTGGTTATTACCTACAAACTGTGTTTGTGTGGAAAAATGGAATTTATATCAAATACTGTCACTGCTAAGAATCAAATGAGGAAGCTACTGAGTGGGTAGGCATGACCTATAATCTTTCCTAAATAACTTCTCTCTCCTGTGTATCTAATTTGTAAGCCCCCATCATAATTTCCCAAGTCACCTGGTCAATGAATACAAGTCCTGTGATTGTCTATGACAAGTGTGTAGTGGAGAAAATTTTGTCTATGTGACAATAGCTAGACTAGAGCCTATTCTGGAAGGTTTATCCCATGTTTAACCAAAACAGATTACTGGAGATGATGATTGGGCTATGGCCACTTTAATCAGAGTTTTTCAAAAGTACACCATGCACTACTTATTTCAGAATCACCTGAGATGCTTCATAAAATGCCAGTTCTCCAGCCTTTTCTATGGCAAACTATATCAGAATCTGGGCATTCTGAACACAGGGTCTGAGAATCTGTTTTGAACAAGCGTCCTAGCCGATTCACATCCTTACTGATACTTGAGACTGATGCTGAGACGTGAGAACCAAGAGTCAAGGTGATGTTCTTTTTCCCAAAACAGTATTGGCTAGAGTCAAAGCAGGGCTGGTTAAGTCTGGTGTACTGCTCTTGCCTTAAGGAATGTTGCCTGTAACTCCTCGGGTTGGACTTTCAGCACCATGGCCTGGCCAAGAGCACAGTATGGTGTGTGTTATCAACTCATAGATAACAGGGATTTTCCATTTGTCAGGTATAGCTGGTAATGGAAGACACCTTTGGCTACCTTAAGTAGGCAAGGAATTATTGGAAAGATGGTGGTGTAAGAAATAAGTTACTGATGAGGGTTGAAGAGAGAGGAACCAGGGCATCCCTGGACATATGTGTATCAGGTGTTAACTAATGGTCAGAGCTTGGTTGAGGCAGCTTCAAACTTTATCTTGTTTATTCCCAATCTTGTGTTCATCCCTTACCTGGAGGAAAGAGCACCTTCTAGGTGCACCCAACTGAGAAGAACATTTCCCAATCGGTTGTTATCAGAAGTAAAGGAGAATGAATGTCTAACTCTATCAGACTCTGATTTGTTATCAACGTAACACACATGTGACAACTCCTAAAGAAAGTAGCTAAGAGCTTAATTACATTCTAAGATTAATCATAGGTTAACAAAACACCTCTCGAATTTTTTTTTAATCCTCAGCCTGAATATGCCAATATTTGCTTTTGGTACATTCCACCGAGCCTTAGAGAGATGGAAGAAGGACCTGAATTCTGGGCAAAACTTAATTTGGTAAGTAATAAGTAAACTACATTTTTCCTTTTGATGAAATAATACTGTTCCCATTGTCTATTGATCCTATGAATAGTTCTGTACTTGTAAGACCTCTCAAAGATCGAGAGAAGTGGCTCCTAGTGTACTGAAAGGCCAGACCGTTGCCAACACTGTTTACGTTTAAACAACGTAACTTACTTAATCCACATATGAATTCCAAATAATGGTGCTGTTTGCCAGATAGCTATAGGATGTGGTAGATGTCCTCATCCCCGGTGTGCTTCAGAAAGTATGATCTGATGACTCATCCTCCGGTGTGCTTCAGAAAGTATGATCTGATGACTCATCCCCCGGTGCGCTTCAGAAAGTATGATCTGACGAGAGGATTCAAGGTTAAAGTTCCATGATGAATGGCTTCTTTTTTTCCACTCCACCAGTGTGTGTCTGGGACTGCTTGCATCACCTCACTTGGAGATAATGTTAAAAGTCTAAATCCGGTACCCTTTGTGAGTGTGAGCCCTCTGTGCTTTCCACCAACAAAAGCATCTTCTGCCCAGGGGGCTTATGTGATAAAAACAAGAAAAGAGATGCCAGCAGTGGGTTTCAACTGATCATAGAACCAATTGGGCTTGAAAGTCTCTTCACACAAGGCTGGTGAGGGCTAACAGTCCCAAGGGAGGAGAAGCCCCAAGCTCTAGGGACTCCTTGTGTCTCCCCTGCACCTCTCCTAGCATGGTCCTGCTGGCTAAATCCCTGCCTCTAAACCAGATTTCCAAGAACTGTGAAGTCTCGTGAGCCAACACCACTTGCTCCCATGCTCCTGCTGTGTGGACATCGTGGATATTGAAGCAAACCAGCAGGAGTTTTCCCTGAGGATTGTGTGGCCATGACATGGAGAGTGGGAATTCACAATGAGTCAGAACCATCAGAGTTGAGTCATGCTCTGCCCCTAGCATCTTCCCTTTCAAGCTCAGCTACCTCCATGGCCCTGGTTAGTACAAGCTCTGACTTGCAAACCTCTCCCTATCCTCTGTGGGAAAATCGGTGATACCATTAATAGATTTTATAGGCAACAGCCATACTCTACTTCCCAGTCAGGCAAACAACAAACCTTCACTGAGGACTCACTGTGCTGTGCACTAGAGATACAGACATCAATAAAACTTGGCCCCTGCCCTCAAGAAGCTCGTAAGTCGGGAGACACATGAGTAAGGGGAGGATCACAAGGTAACTAATAAGGGCCCTGATGGAGATGAACCTTGTTTGCACTGATTACAGAGAGAAAGGTTATCTACCTCCCTGTGTGACACATTAGAGCTAAGTCTTGAACAATCAGGAGAAGCCAGTTAGGGGTCAGTTGTAGAGAAGTAGATTCCAGGAGGAATCACAGCATGATGACCTAGAGACTTAAGAGAAGAAGGTGTGATTCAAATATCACATGGGTGCAAAGGGGCAGTCACGGGGTCCTTGTCTTTCATGACAAGGAGCTTGGAATTTGTGGCTAATTAAGAGGAAGAGGGAAGACCATGGCCTTAAAGCCATGACCAGTTATAATCTCACCTGCAGCATCTCCTCTTAGCTTCAAGACATTTTCTCTTTCTTCATGGCTCATTAAGCCTCCTAACTGTGGCATAATATATACCCAATATATACATATTCTACCCCTCGTCAAACCTGACATCCCGCAGCAGAGAAGCAGAGGGAGGGATGTTGGTATCCATTCCTTTGCCTGGAAAAACCCTTCATTACCAATTTCAGGCAGTTAACAGAGTCCTTGGGCTTTGTCTTGCATTTTTGTCACACAAAGCAAATAGAACAGTGCTAAAGAATGCATTTCAGATGGTAAGTAACCCATAAAAGAAAAAAAAAAAAGGACAATGTGAAAATTTAATAGTGAGGCTTCTAGGGACATTGTGTACTTTGATGGAATACAACTGACATTTTCTTTTCTTTCTTTCTTTTTTTTGGTGACGTGGGGGAATAATTGCTCAGGATTGAGAAAGATCTGGTTGCCATTCTTCTCACTTTTCCATTGTTAAGAAAAGCAATCAAGAATGTGTTATTCATGTTTCACTGACTCAGTACTGTTGCGTGGACGTGGATCAGGAAAACTAAATAGTCCCATTATATCTGGGCATCTTCTTTTTTTTTAAGATTTTATTTATTTATTTGAGAGAGAATGAGAGAGAGCACGAGAGGGAAGAGGGTCAG